TAAAATAATGAAAAATGGTACAAATAAATCCAGGGGTCCCAAGTTAGGACAAACCACTTCCTCTGGAAGGTCTGGCTAATTTTTGCTGCACACGCAGTATTGTGAATGTGATGATAGTGATACCCACCGTTGGGAGATAACTTATAACAGTAGTAGGCCCGCCCGGTAATACAGTATTAATTCCTAAGCTAGGCCTAGTTAGTAGTACTACTGTCTTCACTCTAGCTGATCTACTCTAGGGCCAGGCCTGGGCCGATCGATGCCTTGTATGTTAAAGACGTAGCCTAGCTAGACCTGGCCTTCTACTAGGCTGCCTGGCTTTAGCCTTTAGGCCTACTACTAGGGCCTAGGCCTACATTATTTCATGAAAATTACTGTTCTTTTGTACTGTATTAACATAATTATTGGTCTCACCAAATATGTTTTGAACCGTCGATAACGGATTACTTTGCCAATCAGTAAGCCCGGGCATTTTACTAGTTAAATGTTGTTTATATGGACGTTTATAGACATAAGGTATTTCGTTGTTGCTGCCAGCCAAAACTAGGATGATTCAAAACTACTGTACTGTTATCTGTTATGCTTTTGTTCGCACTGGTATTCTGGAGTTTGTTTGGCGCGAAATTATTCACATGTCCCTTTAAATCACCCTTGAGTGATCACAACATACTTAATATTTGATAAAACAAAATTGTACATAAAACACGACTCTTTGAATGCCGAAAAAAAACCCCAAAAATACTATAGCTTTTTTATATATTTTTTATATATATTTAAATATTTTTTTAAAATATCGGTGTCCATTGGAAATTATTTCTGTAAAAAACACAATATAATGTACGGCAATTCAGATTTTTAAAAGGTTATCTGCTTGGACTCATACATTTCTTTTGGAGGGTAAATAACTTTGCATTATAAGATTTTTTTTCGTAAATTTGTTACTGATAGAACGTGTTAAATACAAAACCTATGTTTTTAATTGTATAATATAATATAAAAATATTAATTTTAATAAATAGCTTCTTAAATTTGTATGTTTTAATGTGAATAAATAACAAAATATTTACACGGGTTCGACTATACATAATATTAGGGTCTATTTTGACATGACGTGTCCCTGTGTTTTTTTGGAGTGAAAGATCTCGACAATAACATAGGGTAAATTTGCTTCCGAAAATTGATATTTAATGCAAGCCATCTTAAACAAACAAGACATAATTTAGATGATAATTTTTTAACCATGAATGAGCAAAAAGAAAACACTCCACCGCTCCTTCTTTTCCCCCCGAGTAATACTACTACCCTAGGCCCAGATGCGCTGAGACCGGTACCAGCAGCCACCGCCTCTCTATTCCCTGCAGGTTAGTGAGTAATGATGCTTCCTTGTTTTGAATAGGCCTAGCCTTGGTCGTTGATTAAAAATGTCTTCACTGGGTTATGGAAGTTTTATTAATAGCATTTCGTATTGTCTTTTGATATACAGTACCGTTAAATTTCTACAAGGAAATGTAAGGATTATTAATATTATATAAAATATCCTAGGCCTAGGGCCCTTAGTTAGGCCTATGCCTAGCTAATAAAACAGTCATAAAATGTAAATTAATCATTTAAAATTGGGGTTTTTTTTTGTGAAAGTGTAAAGTTACACAAAGTTGAAATTTGTTTGTAGTTCTTGAAAAAGAGCAATTCAAATTTTACTTAATTTGTCTTTAAGTTTTATTATTTTATTATTATTTTTTTTTTAGTAGTATATCTATTATTTTACTGATGGTCTAGTGGTACAGTACCGTACACTATCTCGGTAACGATAAAGAGGGTTAGGATGGCAACAGCTAGGCCTACAGTAGGGACACTCGCCATTACCAACACAGCGTACGGTACTGTATTCCTTTCGTAGCCACTGCCATATTTTATCTATTCCTCATAAAGATATAGAATTTCATTCTTAAATCTTAATAACTTGGTAATCATTTCATAACCAGTGCTGTTTTCTACTTTCTAATAGGTCTAATTAGATTATTTTCTATTTTTTAGACACAATAATGGCTGCTGGTATCAATTCAATGGTCTTTTTTTCATTCAATTCTTACAGAAGATGGTGAGGCGGATAGCTTCTTGGGTCAAAGCGAATTTGATTCAGAACCTAACCAGTCAACTTCAATGTTATTCCAATCAAATGTCCCACCCCCTCAAGATCCTTTTTTAAATAAGTCACAGTCATCCCCCTCAGTTGGCAGTACAGCATCACTATTTGGACCAGCAAATACACAGGCCCAAAGCCAGCAGCTATTTTCTTCTCCTAGCATATCACCAGGTTTACCTCCGCAAACTGCACTAAGCCATGATGCCTATGTTCAACAGCCGCTACAACCGCCTCAAATGCCAACTTTGCCAGTTTCTGCTGGTCCCCCACCTGGGCAACCACCACCATCTGGCTTTAATATGAGAGGCTACCAGCATAAACCAATGCCACATCCAGTTAGTGGCGGTCCTCCACCACAAATGGCACAACTACCACAGACAAATATTGGTCCACCTCCAACAGAGTTAGGGCAACAGGCTGGAGTAGTTAATTATCAAATGCCGCAGGTAAGTTTGTTAAACTTACGATTGATATTTTTAAAATTTAACCAAACATACACAACAGAAAACATTATTGATACTGTTTATACTGACAGAGAGTAGTTGATATTTGCCTTTTATTTGCACCTACACAACATACAATTTGTGAAAATTGGTACAAAGCACTTCCAAAGTCTATGTCTCGAAAACTTACCTGGATAACAAACGCTAATGTTCCTTCCTATGTAATAGAACCTTCCATCTCAATGTGTACTGTATGCCTTAAATCATGCAGACTTACTTATTCCCCCATTCCCACAGATTGTATGAACAATAAAATACTTCATTATTATTCATTGCTGTAGATTTTTTTTTATTGTTTGAGAATAATTTATTACCATATAACAATTAAAATAGACCTATTTCAAATAATATACAACCAATATAATAACCAAGATGCTTATGTTTGTTATGTTGATGTTCTAGTTTGATGCAAGTAGACCGCCCCCAACAGTAGCAGAAGTCCAGCAACTGCAAGTTGCCGCTCGGCCACAACCTGCAATATTTAATCCTGTTTACCAGCCAGTACAGCCTCACTGGTTTTATTGCAAAGAAGTGGAAAACAAACAAGTTTGGAAGCCATTCAGCTTTAAAGATTCCTACACTTTAGAAGAAACCTACAACTCTGGTAACTTAACATTTATGTTTATTATTTATTCATTTCATTCTCATTTCATTTCATTTATTTTGTCTAATTTGAACACACAAAACAGTTTCAAACTCGGGAAGACAGGATAACCAAGAGTATATTAAAATACTGCCAAGTGGCTCTCCAAACTGAAAGAGAAACAGGAATAAAAAAGAAACATAAAATAGGAAAAATCACTCTAAAATTAATAAATTAAAATCAAAAATTCATTTATTTAAACGGATACCGCCACCATATTCAATTCCCATCGCTGCCTCTCTTTGTGTTTCAGCTAGAGGGCTGAAATACAAGTTACAATAGCGCACCATCTTTCGGATGAGATGTTTAAGCCGTTGGTCCTGTGTGCATTTATGGCCCATGTGCACTTTAAATAACGCAGTACACTCTTCGGAAAAGAGTAGGGGATTGTCTCCCGGTGTACTGTCCAATCACCATATTCAATTCCCATCGCTGCCTCTCTTTGTGTTTCAGCTAGAGGGCTGAAATACAAGTTACAATAGCGCACCGTCTTTTGGATGAGACGTTTAAGCCGTTGGTCCTGTGTGCATTTATGGCCCATGTGCATGTTAAAGAACGCAGTACACTCTTCGGAAAAGAGTAGGGGATTGTCTCCCAGTGTACTGCCCAATCACCATCAGAATGACCCCACTGGAAATAAGTCTTCTTCTAGACTTTCGTTGGCTATCCTTGGTGTTTACACCGAATAAATCCAATCCAATCCAATATACCGTTTCAATAACGTATTATTCTTATTACAGGGGTGGCGCCAGGATTAGCTTGACGGGGGTCCAAGATCCGCAACGAGGGGAGGGGGCGATGTCCCCAACAAGATCAAAGTCGGTGTGGATGGGCGTCGCTAGAAAAATTACGAAAATGGTCCACAGGGCGAAGCCCTAGAAAATGTTGACAATTTAGGGGTTTCAAAGGCTTATTTCATCAATTTTAGAGCCTACTATTATAAAATTACTTTTATTATAAACATGGTATTACTTGTTGTTTACACAACACTATATATAATGTATATTGCTATGAATTTATAAAATTGTAAATTTATTAATATTTAGTGGAATTTATTATCAATGATAATTTTTTTTTAAATCTTTGCAGTGCAACCAGACCCTGAGAAATGTTACATTAGCACTGATGGTGGTCGATATGATGTCAATCTATCAAATCGAAGCAGGCAATCTATTTATTGGGAAGAGAGTCTGTCTCAAGTACGACGTTGCACATGGTTCTACAAAGCCGAAGGCGAGAACAGATTTATTCCGTACGAAGAATCACTTGCAGACTACCTAGAAGTAAGTTTGTGAGATAATTTCTGATATGTGAACTGTTTTTTGTTTATTTATAAATTTATAAACATATTTATGTTTATAATATTCTCCCATCATAATTATGTTAAATCATGTTAAAGTAGCTTTGTCGTTCCAATCTCAGGGTCCTGGGTTCAAATCCCGCCAAGTTAAGAATTAGTTCGAAGAGCAACAAAAACTCCACTTCCTAAGCATCATACATAAGCCCTGTCCATACTAACAAATTTTATTTGACAAAAATATGTCGCATGCCTAAATATGGTCTTGATGAAATCACATCATTACCATATTTAGTCACATCATGACTATATATGGGCATATGACAGATAATCTGGACAGAGCTTTAGTTTATTGATAATTTATTTTAATCTGGTGTTTACTGAGTTATTCCCTGTTAAATACAGATGAGCTTTTAAAATTATTAAGGGAAACTCTAAAAATTATTTAGATTAATTATCTTTGAAATCATTTAAATTACTCTTTTTGGTGTAAAGTGGTTGTAGCTATTTAGGTAGAACACTCACATCATTTATTGTTACTTCGTACAGTATAACAAACTAGTTAGTTCTAAAAAGCTTTAAAAACTTCAATCCTTTTTTAAATTTATACATTTACTTGACTAACTTGCAGAGGTCTTAAGTCCCCCGCAGTTTTTTGGGAGACTCAGGGAAAATAATCAGTCTTCCTTAAATTCATTAAATCTGCATGTTTTAACTACTGTATTACCCTTTTATTATCATTTGTCTCATCACGAAGCAAAACAAAGTTTGACGTGCTAAGAAAGCTTCTGGGGCGGAAGGGGGTTGCAGACGATGCAATTGCACCCCCTAACATGGCATCGCTTACTATAACATTGTTTCTTACATTATCTTATTGTGTGGCTATCCCTTGCAGATGGAATTTAAAAACTCTGCTTTAGAAAACACATGGAACAGGAGGATTGAACTAGAAAATGGCGAAACGGTTGTAATGCACAACTCCAACGTAATAGTTCACTTCAGACCATCGGGGTTGATGGATGAATGGGGTACAGCCTCTGATGGACAGATGCGCCCTCGTGTTGTCAAACGTGGGGTTGATAACATCGATGAAATTCTTGATGGTACGTTTTCACAAAGGTTTTCTTATATAGATTTACATTACAAATAAGCTCTTCAATCATCATAATTACTGATATATTTATATTTTATATTTAAAGGGGAACCAGCAAAAGTTGATCATCTTTTATTTGTTGTTCATGGTATTGGTCCGGTGTGTGATTTACGCTTCAGAAGCATTTATGAATGTGGTATGTATAATTGACCTCCAAGCATGATTTTTATTTTGACGATGGTAGCAAAATTATAATTTTATTTTGAGTAAGTGATTACCAGATTGAAGTTGTGGTTATGGTGGTCCACTTTCATTCATAATATCTTGGGTTCAGTTTTGGTTGATCTGTTTCGCTGCATTGAACACATAGCGAATATAAGCTTGGCTTTGCTCATCAAACAATGTTTTCATTCCTAGTGTCTAACCAAGGCCTGGCCTCTGCCAGAGATTGCCAGACCCCATGTCAGACAGCTCCCATCCTGCCATGTGTATCCTAGAGCCACCACTGCAACATAGTGATTTATATCATCTTATTTAAAAAAAAAATTTTTTTTTTTAGTTGATGACTTTAGAGCTGTATCACTTAAGTTACTGAATTCACATTTTAAGCATGCCCAGGATGATGGGCGGATGGGGCGAGTAGAGTTCCTTCCAGTGTATTGGTACGATGCTCTTCATGGTGATGCGACGGGTGTTGATAGGTAATAAAATCAATTAAAATAGCCTCCAATAATAAATAAAGATAAATAAGATCTTGTAATATTATTAAATTGGGCAATTTTTATTTGTGCAGTATTATATAACATTTTACAATATTTGCATGATTAAAGCTACTAAAACCTGTAGCATGTAAAGTTGGTATAAAATGATAATATTAATACTGTTTTTGATAATATTTATTTTTGTGATGGAAAGTTATATGTGGAAACTCACTCAACAATCAAATTATTTATTTGGAATGAGATGGATTTGTTCAATGTTACTATATTAAGGCCAGTGTGTGTGAGGAGTATTTCTACTGTCTCTTATACACATCTAGATGTGTATAAGAGATACCTATTATTATTAGCAGTGTAAGCAGTATTAGTTCTCCACTTTGCATTGGTGCATTGGATATGAATGCAATAACAAAACTAATATTTCTCTTTAAAAAATCTTAAAATAAATATTAATGTTTTGAATGTCTTTAAATTTATTACAGACTTCTGAGGCAAATTACATTACCAAGTATTGGCCGTCTAAGGCACTTCACCAATGACACCCTTCTAGACATCTTATTTTACTCTAGTCCAACCTATTCACAAAAGATTGCTGATGTTGTAGGTGGTGAAATAAATAGACTATATAATCTGTTCATGTCAAGAAATCCGTCTTTTGAAGGGGAAGTGTCGGTGGTTGGACATAGTTTAGGTAAGAATTAAGATGGTTTTTTTTTTATTGGAGTATTTGCACTAGTAACACCTATTTCAAGGCATAACATAACAAGACATTTTATTCTATTGAAGATGTTGGAGAAAGGGAGATATCATGAATTTTACCCAATCTGAAAACAAAAGTTTTATAATAGTGGCGATGTGGAGACTGATTATGGTGGAGTTATTGATGATGATATTGATATTGATGATGATGTCACGTTATTAAGGATGGTGAAGTTGCTGCTGATGATGATATTTATAATGAGGGTGATATTGGTGGTCGTACTTAAAATGATGATAGTGATGATGACAGTGACAGTGGTGGTGATGAAGATGTTGATGATAGTGACATTACTAACTGATGTTGATGTTGCAATCCTACTTGACAATAATAATTTTTCAGGTTCGTTGATAATGTTTGACCTGTTGTCACATCAGCGAAATCCAAATGACCCGGTCGTCAAACCGTCAGAAAGCACATCACAGTTAACAACGCCACCAGAGCTAAACAGTTCCTCCGGAAGCTTGAATGCACTATTAACCGATGAAGCAGCAGAAAAGAGCAAGCCTAAAGAGGAGATCACTTTAGAGGCAACATTCCAGAAACTTGAATTAACGGAATACTTACAAAAATTTGTTGATGAAAAAATGGACATGGAATCTTTAGTAAGTAAACAAAAAATTTTTCTAAATATTTTTTTTACAGGAAATCACCCAAAATTAGTCTATGAGCCTTTCCAAATGAAGGGCTGGTTCAAGCACTCAGGGTAGCAAAAGAAAATCATTCACATTCACATGATAATAGTTATAACAGTAATGGGAATTGGTAGAGCACATGTCTCCACCCTGTTCCTGAATGCCGAATAATATAGAAAAATAATGATAATTGTAGTAATGACTTTTTTTTATACATTGTCTAAATTAAAAATTGATTTCTTACTATTCAGATGTTATGTGAAGATGCAGACATTAAGGAAATGGGGTTACCAATGGGACCTAGGAAGAAGTTGAGAGGTCATCTAAAACATCTGTCAATGGCAAAGGTTTGTTTTTAAAATTTTCTGAAGGGATGTACAAGGAATGTCCCCTCCATTTCTCTCTGCATTGAAATCAATAGTATACTTTCATTGCAAGCTACAAACATTTGTTGAGAGAATTCTCTTTTTTAACCTGTAAAGGAAAAGCAAGACCGAGAAGCAGAAATTGAGGCACGGATTGCGAAGGAGCGACAAGCTTTAGTGGAAGAACATCAGCGATCCATTCAGGAAAACCTCAATAGTTCAGTGATGGATGCATCTACTACTTCAATCAATGTCAACTTTGAACCTGGACAACATGGTAAACAGAATACAAAACAACACTGGATACAAGAACCTTTACTGATAGAATAGTAATTCTATATTCACAATGCAACAAATTCAAAAAGTATACCCAGATCAGAAATTCTTGTAAATTCAACTTAGTATATTTTGTCATATTTGTGGGTCTTTGCTTTTTAGCATTTATAAGAAAATGATGACTATCCCCTTCCCCACCATGTTTTGTACTCTCGTGAAAATAATGAAAAATAGGATGACCCCTTAGCATTTCATAGGTGAAAATATTTTAAGACAATTAACTGGTGTAAAGTTGGTATAAAATGATAATATTAATACTGTTTTTGATAATATTTATTTTTGTGATGGAAAGTTATATGTGGAAACTCACTCAACAATCAAATTATTTATTTGGAATGAGATGGATTTGTTCAATGTTACTATATTAAGGCCAGTGTGTGTGAGGAGTATTTCTATCCTGTGATTTTCATATTTTTTTTTTTGTATTTTTTTCTTTTGCTCGTTAGGTGTTGGCCAGCCTGTTGTAAAATACCCTGACTTGGAGTTTAGTCCAGTGAATTTCTTCGCATTAGGGTCACCAATAGGAATGTTTTTGACTGTTAGAGGATGTGATGCTATCGGGGAAAAATACCAGCTTCCTACATGTCCAGGATTGTACAATATATTTCATCCTGTAGGTTAATAACAAACTTGGTATATTTATGTTAATAACAATGATAATTAGTAAATAGTAGATCAAGAAAGAAATATGTATCAAAAATACAATATATTTGATTGATATAGATATCCTTCTGTTCAAAGCCAATAAGAAAAAAATCAATATATTCCATATTATTCAAAATTGTTATATGCTTTGCAGCATTATATTCATAATACATAAATTAATAATAATATTTAACAACCAATATCAAAAGTTTTATTTATAGTACTTGAACAATAGCAATATGGTAGTTATTATTTGTATTTATTATATAAGATATTAGTATATACTGTTCTTTATATTTATCCAGTTTGACCCAGTAGCATACCGAATTGAACCTCTTGTTAATGAGACAATGAAGTCTGTGAAACCTGTGCTAATGCCACATCACAAGGGGAGAAAACGATTCCATCTTGGTAAGTTCAATAACAGACTTAGCAGTAATTAAACTGTATAGAACCCAACACTTTCAACAAGAGAGAGAGTAGAGAATCGTCACCTTAGGATATTGACAAATCACCATCAACCTCATCGATTTAACTCCACCATTGAAGGTTGAGTAGAGAGAAACTGAAACTTCAATTGTAAGCCTGAGGGGCTTTCTGCATGTGAAACGGGACACTAACTGTGTTGTACAACTGTCCGCCGACGGATCCAGCCCCGCTCCCCGTGAGCTCGGATGGCGCAATGCCGTTTGTTGATTGTCAGTGGCAGTCTGAATGGATTGTCATTAAAAACAATCTGAGTTGCATTCTCTATAGAAATGCATTGGTGTAGTGGGTGCCAGCATTAGCGATAGTGATGTTATTTACGTTAGATTAGTAGTATTTTGTGAAAGTCAATACATTTTCCCCCCCAATTTCTCATTGTCTGGAAAATTTAGAGATTAAAGAAAGTTTGGCTGCTTTTGGCTCTGATTTGAAACGAGGTTTTATCGAGTCGATGCGAAAGACATGGAAAACAATCCACGAGTTTGCACAGGCTCATCGCACCACTGAGGCGCCCTCAGTCACAGACGAGGAAATGGAAGCTGTAGCTGAGAAACTAACTCAAGAAGAGCTTCAACATCGTGAACAAAGTCCTGAGCAAGGTAATCTATTCACTCCAATATTAAATAGGTGTGGGGTGGGTACTAGATTCAAAGGATCTTAAAATCATGAATTAATATAAGAAGGGACTGTTTATGATAATTACATGTTTGAAATTGAATAAAGTTGATTGAAAATAAATGGGTAACATTTAATAATTATTATCGCTATCATGATTATTATTATTATCATCATTATTATTACTACTATCACTATCAGTTAATTGTCTAATGCATTTTGCTTTATTCATACATTGTTATATTCAGCCATGAAATTTCCCCATAGTGGGATGAATAAAGTTTCCTTGAATCCTTAAATCAAGTTTCCTTGAATCCTTGAATCCTTCATCTTTTGAGCTTTTAAGGGCAATAGTGTTTTAATTATATTACTTTTTTGTGTGTATATCATTTTAACATGTTTTTTTTGTTTGTTTTTTGTTTTTTCCTTACAGATGGATCTGCCATTGAAGTTAAAGTTGGTCAATTAAATAATGGAAAACGAATTGATTATGTATTACAAGAAACACCATTTGAAAGTTTCAACGAATACCTGTTCGCTCTAAGCAGTCATGCATGCTATTGGTAAGCCAAATGGTTCTCATCACCCAATAACATGGTCTTGGGTTCATATCCTGCAAAGAATCTAGACTTTTTCTCAAGACTTAGAAAAACAATGTCATTTCTTAGGGCTTGTAATGCAACTTCAATTCAAATAAATTTTATTCAGTGCTACATATGCCACCACGGGCCAATATCTGCTTCAATTACATTGCACAAACAATGTATAAGAACAAATAATCCTGCTGGATATTTCTAAAGTGCCAAAGTATTCAAGACTTATTTAGTGAATTGCAAGCTACTGGAAGAGAATGCAATGAAATGAATTGTACATAGTTTCCAAACAGAAATGTATTACAAATAAACATAGGCCTTGGCCAAAAGTTTTTACAAGAATAGACACATTAAACAGATTTACACCTGACAACTAATATCATGTTTCCGTTTATTGTAGGCTAATTTTAATACATAGATTTATTTTCAGATGACATTAACATAACAAACTTATAATCATTAAAACAGAGTTGAAAATATTTTAGAATAAAATGTTTTCTTAAATCATTATAATAGGGACAAATAATTCAATTTAGTTTAACGAATTGTAACAAATAGAAATTAGTAGTAGTTAATGAAATATTCTCAAAACAAATCTTGACAGTAACAGAGTATTTTAATGCCAAATGCTAAAACATTTTCTTTTTTTTCGCAATCTTAGGGAATCGGAAGACACAGCTTTACTAATGTTGAAGGAGATATATGCGAAATGTGGAATATTCCCAATCCAGGTGGGAAGACCAGATTCTGCACCGCCAACTCCACGAGTAATATGAGTTAAAAGAAATAAAAATACATGCTATCTAACACAAGGGTTCTATGCTACATCTGATAAAATGCAATGAATGTGTCTAAGGTGATCTTGCTAATGCTATGCTGCAGTGTTCTTATAAAAATGAAAATATTTAAGCAGCAACAAACTGATGCTACCAGAGTATACTTTGTAGTCTTAGGCAACATGATGTCAGGTGTTTCATACTTCATTGATTGCTTATCGCATGCTATACAGGTGTGGATCCATTAAGGGGGCACGTTCTCCCGTTTTGCCACTAAATTTTAAAATGTCAATGCATGTCATGTATTGAAATAAGCGCTGCTCACTTATCTCTTCTGAAAATGTTGTTTTACCCCCGTTCTAAAAATTATGGATCTGCCCCTGCTGTAGAAACCCATTTCACTCACTCATACATACCCACATACACCTTTAATGTTGTAGTTGTCAACTTTATGTGCTGTTATTTTTTTTTTTTAAAGATAATGTTAAGTGCTTTATATTTGATTATTAAGAGTTATCAACTAATTAATTTATGTTATGAAGTTACACTATTAATAAATGATAATCAAGCACTGTGCATTGATCGATTAATTTGACATTGCAAATAGGCAGAGGATGATTGTAAAATATTTTTTTTGCTTTTAATGAGTTCAGTTCCTACCCTATATGTATTCTGATATTGGCATGATAGGTCTCAAACACTATTAAGATTGATGCTTATAAAACATACATGTATTTTTTTTTTTGTTTCTTCAGCCAAAGATGAAGTACTATTCAGTTTCTATAGGTGCTGTAATTGAAAGCCATTCAATTAACATTTTTCAAGTAGTGATTGGAAAAATTGTTATCTTAGAAACCATTAGTGCATATATTTTAATTGAGGATAGGTTTATGAGAGGGGTTAGGCTATTTAATTAACAGATGGGAAATGGTGTAAAAACTGCCAAATTTTATTTTTTCAATATGTATACACCAATATATTCTTAATATATTGCTTAATAACTTCTAAATATTAGTATAGTAAAAGCAAACTTCTTCCTCTATTGCTGCACCCCTTAACATCCCATTGTTAAAAAGCCTTTCTTGAACTTTTATTTGTGACTCTTTTCAGCATAGCTGGTTATATAGAATCCCTCTTTTAATTAATGTAATACAATGATTATTATATTCCTTATAACTATATTGATTGCTATGTTACATTTTGTTGTTGTTGTTTTTTTTTAAAATTAAGAACGGACACTAAAATTAGTGTGCAGTATTTAAATTGTATACTTTCTGCACAATAATCAATTTGAATTTTGATTCTTGTAAAAAAATGCATATTAAATATTCAATCACATGTCCACTACAGGAACACAATAAAATATATTGTTTCTTTTAAGTTGTCTTTATACAGTTTTTGTGTCAATGTTTCAGAATCTAATGATAAAAAAGGGCCTGTCGAGGAGAAAAAAAAGACATTATATAACATATTGTTAAAAATCAAATAAGCCTTTCAATTCCATGAACCCTTCCGAGTGGTTCTAAGCATCTCCGGCCACGCCCACTTGTGCTTTTGTTGGAGAATCCTGACGCCTCCACTTCTTCAATTTTTTATAGATAAGTCAGTGCCTTAATGCCGAAAGGTATAAACAGCCCCGTTTTTGGCCACTCCCTGTAAAATTATAATTAAGTAGTATGTAAAAAATAACAAATGAACAACAAATATTTATTTCATTTAATTTATATATGTCCATACAATCGCTGCACGCTATCGCCGACGGATTTCGATGATACTGATTGGTCGGTCGAATCGGGAGCCTTCCCAGTACAACAATTGCACTGAAAACTGTAGCGACAGATTAGCGATAATAATAATAATATTTATTGACATTACACTTTTACATCAGTGGCAGCACACAAGAAAGTGGCGCAGTCAAACTTAAACTAATGAACAAATAGTAAAAACAACAACTTAAAGCTAAACAAATGAAAGAACTTAACTAAAGAAAATACAACTTAGATCTAAAATAAATCATGAACATCCCTCACCCTCCCCACACAAATAATGTACATAATACACATTACGTGCATACAGTACCCCACCCAAATATGTGTGTATATATATATATATACATATATATACATACATATATATACACTCATATAAATATACATACACACACACATACACATACATACACATATATACATATATATATATATATATATATATATACATACATACACACATACATACATGCATATACATATATACATACACACATACACATATATACATACATACACACATATAAATACACATATATACATAAAGTACACATATACATATATATACACACATACACACATACATACAGACATACATATGTACACCCATATATACATACACATACATATACACACATACACACCCACACACACATACACATACATATATATTATACATATATACAAAGCGTTATAAAAGTATATAAAAGAAATTAAATTTAAAACATAAAAAAGAAATATATGTATTACTAAAGCAAAAATGCATTTAACCTAATTTTAAATTTGATCTTCTATCCCAAGCTTTTTTAGCAAATGTTTTACAATATCTGTCAAATGCAGATTGAACATCACCATTAAAGAGATTATTTTCCCCCCAAAAAACAAAATGAATTTTATCATCAATATCAGATTCTGAGAAAGTGTTCCAAGTTGCAGTCTCATTGCAAAGTTCAAGGTCTTATTTTAAAATAGCTAATTCTGCCTCTCTGATTATATCAAATGATTTACAGTTAAATAAAAAATGACGAATATCTTCGGTTTCGCCACTTTGGCACAAGGTACACTGACCATTAATCTCTTTAGACCATTTACAGGTCTTGCCATCAAGGGGTAATGTGTTGGACCTTAATTTAAATTTTAGACTTACCCCCATAAAATTAGTTTTATCAAGCAGATATTTTTCGAAGCTTGGTGTAGATTTCAAATTTGAATAATTTTTAAGAGAAGGCTTTTGGTTAATTTGAGTTTCCCACTCAACG